AGTATATAACAAACTCTGTATTTTGAGTGGAAATGTTAGGGGGTCGTCTTATACGCCCAGTCGTCTTATACGCCGGCAAATACGGTAAGTGTCCAGAGAGAGGACTTTGGTTAAATAGACTGTTTTATCTCCATAAAATATAGGAATTTGTGGAAGAAATTGAGGCTGTAGACTTGTGTTTACTAACACAGAAAATGCCCACCACCTATATATGAAAATCATATGGGAAAACCAGGTTATAGAATAGTATTTGTGATTCTATGTTTTTGGTAACAAAGTTGATTGTATATATATTACTACATATGTAGTGTTATGCTATAGATTTAATGTTACATAATATACATATAGTGTTACATATATAAATATATTTGCATAGGTAGATATGTATATGTGTGTGTCTATACATATTATGTGAATTTATATGGAAAATGTTTGGAAGGATACAAATGAAAGTGTTCTCAGTGAGTATACTCAAGTGGTGGGGAATTTTATTCATCCATTTAGTCATTAATTTGATTTTTGTAATTCTTTGAATTTCCTGAGGGTATTTTTTTCTGGGCAATGAATTTGTATTGTTTTTATAGTAGGAAAAATAATTTGATAATATAAGCTTAGGAAACAAAGAAAGCCGATAACTTCATCTCAACTGTATTAGCCAGCAGAAATGCACTTATCCCCTCATACCAAGACTGTCCCCAGTTCTTGTCCACATTAGAAGCCCCTCTGATCCCAGGATGGCCTTTAATTACAATAATAACAATGAAGGGATGGATGATGGTGATGTCCATTTAATGAGCACATACTGCGTGCCAGGCGTTGGCTGGTACTTCTTTCTTTGGCTCCTTATAATGGCCTGAGACGCAGGTACTCTCACTTCTTTGGATTTCTTAGGAGAGCCTGCAATGGGGACTTTGTGCAAATGATGTCTTGAGGGAGAGCTTTCATGGGAAATCTGTAAAGGAGGAGTAAGGGAGGGAAGCAGACTGGGGCAGGAGAAGAAGTTAAGCAAAGATGTGAGCTCAGCTTAAGTCTAGTCTCAGCCTGACCCTATGGGGAGCCCTAGACTGTACATGAATATCACAGTACTGTCCCGCTTTGAGGCAAGGACTCTGAGCTTTCATCCCTCTATATCAGTTGGTCATTGGCTAAAGGACAATTGGAATGGATAACTAGGGAGATGGGGTCAACCTCCCAGGTATCTCTGGATGAGGCACCTGCCATCAGTGAAGGGCAGTACTTCTGAGGAGAGTATAGCTATTAGCAGTCAATGCTCACAGCAACTGGGGGATGGGTGTGCTGGGCCTGCAAAAGGGATCTGGGTGGAGCACCAACCTCCTACATATTATTATTCACATTGTACAAATGGGGAAACTATGGCTCAGAGAGGTGAAATAACTTGCCCAAGGTTACCCAGCTAGTAAGACATGGAGCTGGGTGTTGAACTTACCTCTGAAGCCCTTGCTCTGAGCCCTGAAATTGGACTGCTGGTAATTTCACAAAGGGGAAGGAGATTGAGGCTGTGCCCCCAAGATCCCCTCCATCTACTCTCTGTGCTTCACACTAGCATCCTGGCTGAGAAGCACTTCCAACCTGCGCTTTTGAAGAAGGGAGCCGCGGAGAGCCTTTGTGTTTCTGCAGAGGTCTCTGAAGGTTGTCTGTTGGTGGAGCTGTTTGCTAGGAGACATTTCTCAAGAAAGGTTCCTTTGAAAAATGAGCTCAGGCTCTGCCCTCAGACCCATATTATTGTACCTGGGAGAGAGACATCCCAGCACATGTTTCCCCAAGGTATTAGAAGTAGATCCAATTCCTTCTCTAACTGGTTCTTCCAGGCCCCAGCTCAGAGTGTATCCTGGCTGATAATAGTTTCTGTGCCAGACAAACTGAGAATTCTGAGGACAAAGTGCCCTTTGAGATGACTTGCCTGCCCTCCCCATTATATAAATAGGGAAACTGAGGCACACGGAGTTGAGGGACTCACACAGTGAGTTAGTGGCAGGGTCATGACTCACCTCTCTCGTTACTGCACAAAGCATCCACTATGTGCCAAACCACGGAGTGGGTGCTTTAGCCTCTTTATCTGATAAATCTGACCTCTGGACTCTCTTGGGGTCAGTTTCTACTGGCTGTTTGTTTCTTGACTTAGGATCACATTTTCCTGTTTGTAGGTCTAGAAAATTTTGATGTTGTGTGTGATGTGTTGTAGAGACTCTGGATTCTGTTTTCTTCTTTGGAAGAGTATTAAATTTTGTTTTGGCAGGCAGTACCATTACTGGGTGATCCCATTGAAATCCTGTGGGCTTGGTTTTACACTTCGTTAGGGAGGAGGATTCACGCAAAGCTCAATCTATTTCTCAAGTCTCTCTAACTTGGCAGGACTCACCTCCAAACTCTTCTCTGAGCATCTTGAAGGATTTGGCTTTAGGCTTTGTTAGGGCAGATCTAAAGCAGCCCTTCCACTAGAGCGTGATCCTTACCCCTAAGGCATGGCCTTTCTGCTATTTCAGGTCAATGCCTGGGATGAAGGTCTAAAACAACCCCCAGCGCTGTTTGACCTGTAGTGACTCAGTTTGCTCTCAGTCCCCTACGTTTGCTTTCTGGTAAACCTTGGATGGTCTTATCCTGTGTATGCATAGCCCAGGCTTTGGGCAAGGACTTGTGGGTCCTGGGGGACCCCCCCCCCAACCAGAGTTCCGGGGCACCACTGTCTATGCAGCTCCCTTCTCTCCGGTGTCCTATCCTGCAGATTCCTTCTGCTTCTGCTGCCCCTATTGCCCCAAATTTTGATCTCTGCCTCCTGAGCTCAGAGGGACTGCTGTGCTCTATTTGGGCTGTGTTGCCCTGTGCCATGCTTGTGAGGTTACCCAGGATGAGAGCCCAGGTGATAGGGGTCTCACCTGTGAATTTCTCTTCCTTCAGAATCACGGTACCTATTACATGTGCACTGCCTGCTCGCCACCGCCTAAAAACAGTTGTCTCTTCTTTCATCAAGTGTTATGTTATTTTCGTGGGAGGGCTGATCTGGTATCAGGTTCTCCGCCAGGGCCGGAAGTAGAAGTCCAACTCAGTTAGGCACTCATTCTCTACATATATATTTATCTTGGAATGCTCACAAAGACCTCGAGAAAAGGGCTTAATATCCTTCTTTAACACGCGAGGAAACAGGTTCAGAGGGGTGCAGTCACTTGCCTAAGTGGCAGAGTGATAGAGTTTAAAATGAGTTTGCTGGACTTCAGAGCCCACGTTTTTGTCCCTGTATGGCTCCTGCATTCAGTGGAGAAGCTAAAACCAAAACTAAATCTCACTGACACCATCATCAAAATGGCAGCATTTCCTGAGCCAATTTATATATTTTCGCATACCCCACCTCTCACTGCGTACCTTTGTTCCTGTTTCTTCCACGGACTCCCTGGTCTGGGCAGTCATGACCCTTCATGATTCTAGGCATCTCTTATGGAGCTTCAAGTGTTTTCTTCCCAGGAAACTTTTGCTGTCTTACTGTCTTGCCCCACTGCCTTCAGAGGCTCTCTAGGACCGGTTGGCATTTCCCAAAGTATAGAATTAAGCACGGCGCCTTAGGGCATGCTGTAGCCCACTGGTCTCCTTTTGGAGATTCACAGCTGGAAGTGTGACCATGTAGCGTTTCTGCAGGAAGAAAACTTGTTTAAGTGGGCTTAACCCAGTCTGTTGAAATCTCGTGGAACGCACTGGAAAATATTGGACCACAGAGTAAAGACTAGTCTTTTCTGTCTGCATCCCAGTCCTTCTCCATTTTAACCTACTTTTAATTTCATTTCCCATGACTTCTTGTCACAAACCAACCTTAATGCCCCCTACCCATTTCTCCCTTCAACCTTCATACCCTTCTAGCTGTAAGAATGATATAAGCCTGTAATTACTGGGAGTTTCCTTGAGGGGGGACTGGCCCAGGAATGGGGTCAACCAGAGGAAAGTGGAGCCTGAGGAAGAGAGGGGTTAATCCTTGAAGACTTCATTTAAGGCCCTGGATCCAGTCTTGTCTGAAGCCATCTCTCCTAGACTTTAAGCAACAAGAGCTGATAAATTATCTTGTTTTCTCCCTCAACTCAGGGCTCCTGCAACCAAAAGAGCCCTTTGCTGGTACATCTTTCTAACCTTCTGATACGTTTTCTGACATTGAGTGCTATGTCCTGTCCATGTCTACTCCCTCTCTAGACCTTACACAGTGTGGTACCAGGAGTTGGGGTTCAAATGTGTCTTAAATGTCATGAGCCATTGTCTCATGAGGGTCACTTTTCATGGCCCAGGATATGACTGGATGTTAGCAATGTGAAACTAACTTCGTAGCTGCCAGCTCTGAGTTTGCTTCTGGAGGGTGGGGGTGAGGGGACTGGTGGGGAAAAGAGGATCTGGCTGTGGTGAAAGGAGCATGAGACACCCTGAAATAACTCTGCCTCCTGTTGTTCACACCTTGGTGTAATCCCCTCCCTCTATGTGTGTGGGACCTGTAACTTCATTCTAACAGTAGACTGTGGCAAAGGTGACTGCCCATCACTTTCATAATTATGGTAGCGTGTGTGTGTGTGTGTGTGTGTGTGTGTGTGTGTGACACTATCTTGCTAGCATGTATTAGCAAGAGATTCTGCTTGTTGATTTGATGAAGTGAGCACCCACACAGAGAAGCCCATGTCGCTAGGAACTGTTGGTAGCCTCTAGAACTGTGGGTGGCCTCTAGGACATGAGGACAGCCCCCAGACAACAACCAGCACACATCTGGGACCTTCTGTCCTGCAACCACCGGAAATGAACTCTACCCACAGCCTGAAAGAGCTCAGAAGCAGATTCTTCCCCAGTTGAGTCTCCAGATGAGAAAGCAGCCTGATTGCCCCCTTGTGAGACTGAGCAGAGGACACAGCTATGCCAGGCCAAGACTCCAGCCCGTGGAAACTATGACCAAGGTGTGCTGTTCCAAGCCGCTGAGATTGTGGCACATTGTTACACGGCAATAGAAAACCTGCACAATGGGCTATGGAGAATGAGAGACCCAGGTTTGATTTCTGACCCACTTACCAGCAGTGTGACCTTATGTGAGTCACAACACCTCTCTGAAACCCAGTTTTCTCATCTACTGACAGGTGCAGACTTGGGAGAGTTAGAGCTAGTGAATGGAAGCACCTAGCATGGGGCCTGGAAGGGAGAAGGTGCTCAATAAATAGCAGCGGTTAAGAGTTATCACAATTTTTAACTTTCTTCATTTTTAATACCAATCATGGATTACTTTGGTAAATAGTAAAAATAATTTTGCTTAAAATAATGAAGGAGAGAACTGACTTGTCTAAGAGCGCAGAGCTAGTCAGCAGTGGAACTGATGACAGCCTGAGAATCCTATAGGGGGCTCTTTCCAGAACAGCCCCTTCCTCATCCCGGATATAACAACAGAAGCAGCAACAACAACAACTACCCTAAGAGCCAGGCCCCTCACCTATACCAAACCTGCAAGGTGGTGTAAGTATCCTTATTTTACAGATGAAGACACTGGGACTCAGAGAGGTCAAGTCATTTGCCCGAAGTCCCACAGCAGACAAGCAGCCGAGCTGGGATTTGCTTTCTGCACCTGGAAGGAACCACCTAGTCCACAGCATCCAAACCAGCTTGGGTTCTCCCTCCCCAGACCCCCATGGAGGTGATGTGGGGGACACTTGGGGTTTCAGGAACGGGGGACAAAGGCAAGGAAATCAGCAGTGCAGCCTGGCCCCAGATCCCATTACGCCAGGAGAGATCGCGTTTCCCCCGTTCCGGCGCCCTGAGCAGGGCAGAGACGCGGGCAGGCAGCCACTTCCCTGGTTATTCAAGTAGAAAATTACAGGTGCCCAAAATAGCCTGGGCATTCTTTTATTTATGAATAAGCAGTGAGCCCGTGGAGCTGGAATGGGGGTTACGTGTATTTCTTTCCACAGGCCACTTTCCTGGGATCTGCAAGGATCCCTTTCTCAGGGGACTCTCTTGGGAGATTGGGGTGGGGGCATTTTCAGGGCGTGGTCATGGGAAAAGGGGCGATGAGCCGCACCACACAGGAGCTGGAGGGTCTAAGTTCCCCGGGGCTGCAGGGGATGGGATGGCAGATAATGGGTCTGTCCCAGCCACCTCCTCCTTGCCGTGTGACTTTGGGGAAATGGCTTAACTCCTTGGTCCTTCATTTCTTCTGTAAAATGGGATGAGTCCTAAACTCACAGAAGAGTTTCTTTTTTTTGAGCATACAATTAATGCGTGCTCATTATAGACAATGTAGAAAGTGCAAAACAAACAAACAAAATACCCCCATAAAATGACCATCGTATCCTTCCATTGCCCCTCCCCAATTAAGGTAATCAGGATTAACATTTGGTATATATCCTTCCAGTCTTTCTATGAATGTATAAAAAAAACGACTGGTGGAGTCCACTCCCTACCTGAGCCACTGTGCTCTTAAAAGGGAACCCTCTCTTAGAGTCAGTTAACAAACCTAAGCATTGCCCTAGGTCCTGGGGTGGCTTAGAGACAGGTTCCCCAACACCCTCAACACCCTCTTTCCATCTCTCCAGCCCTCCAGAGACAACCCCTAACCCTGAGTCCCCACGCAGAGCCACCTGGTGGGTTGTGAGGAGGGAAAGTCATTTTGCAGGTCCCAGACACGGATGCTGGGCCAAGGTTGGGGCCTGGAGTCCCCTGGTGGGGACATCCGTGACCTTTCCGTCCAGCAGGCCTTGTGCACAGATGGGCTGGTGTGGGTATGGCTTGCTGACTCTCCTCCCCGGAAAGTCAGGGAGGGAAGCTGATGCCCTCTCCCAGGGACTGTGTCTAGACTAGTTAATATGTAAAGTGCTTAGAATTGGTGCCAGGCACACAGTGTGCTGTCAATATACCTAATCCGCCGATATGACTACAACGTCATTATTATTCTGAGTTAGGAGCTGGACGGCCTGAGGTCATCCTTTTTGGAGACTGATTTGTAATGAACCTGAGGAGACCACTGCAGAATCACTTGTAGGATGGAAGTAACAATAGCGCCCATGATGAACACTTCCATTTATCAGGTGCAGCACCATGGGCCAGACACTGTGCCAAAGCCTCTCAATTGCTGCTTAAGCCACCAAACAAAATGGGCTTCATTAGTCCCCATTCACAGATGAGGAAACTGAGGCTCAGAGACGTTAAGTAACTCTACCAAGGCCACACAGCTGGTAGGTGGCAAACAAGGACTTTATTCCAGGCTTGTCTAATTCAGGGTCCCTCATCCATGAGGCTCTGTCTGGCCAGGTGAGGAAGGCCTGGTTCCTGCCCCTGGAGAGCTCATTGTCTGGTGGTAGAAGCCCACACTTGGAACTTTCCCCCAACTGCTCTGGGTTTGCTGAATGGTGGAGCTGTGGGCTTTGGGGTCAGACTGTTTTGACCCCTCCCCTGACAGCTCCTAGCTTAACTTCTCCAAGCCTCAGTTTCCCATCCAGAAAATGGGGATAATAAAACTGTTGCTGAGAGGATGAAATTAGATGACATAAAGCTTGTAGTGTAGGTGTGGGGCATAGTAAGTGTTCAATAAATCCAGCAGTTAATAACTTTATCACTGATATTATTCCCAGAAGACATGTTGAGTTTCCAAGGGCTACCTTCCTTTCCACCTGAATGGTGGGCAGAGCCAGGGCTGGTTTAGCCCGAGGAAACTCTGGCCATCCCCCAGCATTTACAGTCGGCTGCTTCAGGCCAGATAATGCTGCCCTTGGCTTAGGCTGCTGCAGACATGGGCCCCGCTGTGAAAGTGGTGTCAGGGCATAAGGGGTCCTGCCCCAAAGCCACCCAAATTCACTCCATCCACTGTACTCCCCTCTCCCAGTCTGGGACCAGCAGAGTTTTGACCACTCACCTTGTACCCCCAGAGAGGGTGCTGTGCTGAGCAGGTGAAGGTGTAGCTAATGTAGCTACAGCAGGACCAGCCAGGCCGAGGTGATGTTTACCTACCCTAGACAGCTCCTTCAATCAAGAAAATATACTCTTGGGGCAGCCAGTTAGCTCGGCTGATTACAGTGCAGTGCTCATAACACCAAGATTGCTGGTTCGATCCCCACATGGGCCGCTGAGCTGCGCCCTCCACAACTACAATAGATTGAAACAACTACTTGACTTAGAGCTGATGGGTCCTGGAAAAACACGCTGTTCCCCAATTAAAAAAAAATACTCTTGATTTTCTGCAACATTTGTTTATAGGCAGGTCCCTGACCGAAAACTCAACCTAGAGCCTTAACAACTTGATGGAGAGAAAAAGGGAAAGTGCTGCCTCAGGACTGGTTTTCTGGTCTCTGGGAACCCCATGCACTGCTCTGGGTGGTGATGCTTGAGCACGGTCCAGAGAGTGGGCTCTGAGATGGCTGCCTGGGTGTGATTCCTGGCTTCACCACTGACCTGCTGCTGTGTGACCTTGGACAAGGCACCCAACCTCTCTGAGTTCAGTTTCCCATCTGTGAAATGTGGGTAATAGTGGTACCGACTTCCTGAGGTTGCTGTAAGATGGTGCTTGGCATATATGCGTAACAATTATTAATTAAACAGAAAATGATTATTTCCTTGAAATGAAGTCATTTGAAGTGGTCCAAGTTGCCAAACTTTTCTGGATGAGAATGAAGAACGGGAGGAGA